TTCTAAAAATTGTTTTTCTTTTTATATCCGGTCAGTGTTTTTTTCAGTTTTGTTGTTTTGGGTTATTCGGGGAGAAAGAAATATCTTATAAGCCTTTCTCCAAAGGTCATAGTTTTCTAAACGGCTTATAGGGGATATTGTTGTGGGAAATCTTTGTTTTCCAAAATGAAAACTCTGCGTTACTATTTTGGTGAAAGGTCAGGCTAACAGATATTGCTAATGTATATTCCCGGCTCAAAATAAAACTGGGGCACCTGGAAACCTATTAGGAATATTTTTACGCCACTAGTTTTTACGATAAAAGAAGTGCATTTTTATAAAATACCATTCAATTTTACATAAATTGTGCCTTCGCTCGTTTTGGAGATATTTAGGTTTGAACATTTACAGATACAGATGAAATCCTAAAATTCTTATGAAAAGGTTTAGCCTCCCCTATTCTGAAAACACCACGAAGCTTGACATTGGAAATCCTATATGACACGTGAAGAAAAGCTATGGCACCTCATTATAAAATTAATTGCATAATATGCGTGTCTTATCCGCAATCAGTACCATAGAGACTTGGCATTCATTAAACTTTGTCTATACACGCCACTGGTTTTCTTGGTATGCTTCTCCTGATATTACCCATGTTAGATTCTTCTGTTTGTATAAAATCACGACTGGAAATTGTGGAACTAATCAATTCTTTTTATTTTACTTCTCAAAATATTGGAATTTTTTTTCTCAAATTTTTTAATTTCGCAAATAAAACTCTATCCTATGGTAGGGGAGCATCTTTTGATCCATAACTATTAGATCCTTTTTTACATTTCTACGTAGATAAATGTTATTTTTATGCGAAATAAAACTTTTCAAAAATTCAAATATTTCGTCTTTGGGGGTAATTGAAGAAATGCGCTACGATATTCGAAAAACATACGGTACTATACAAATTTTAAAACAAAGTGGAAGTGTATATCATCTTTTGATTGCGAATTACTCACAAATACGAAATGTTTGAATCCTATCCTTTTTTGCATAAAAATAACATTTATCTTCCGAAACATTATGCGATTCAAATCGGCAAGGTAAATTAGTGTATTTTGCTATAAAATGTCCTTTCGAAATAACCCTGTATATTGCTCAATAAAGTAGTAGTGGTGGCCGTAAAATAAGTGTTTTGGGATAAACAATTAGAAATTCTCAAAAACTATCAATCTACTCCAATTTTGTTGTGGTTATTTAGAAGTACGAATCCTACTAATTTGAAGAATTTCAAATATCTGCGAGAAAACCATCGTCGCATTACCAACAATGTTTTGAATACCTCCTTGAACAACTTGCAGCAATAAACCCACACTTTGCAATTATTTCACAAGCTCTGGGGTATTTTCGTCTAACATGATTAGACTGGTAGTGATTAATTTGTAGTGAAAACACTTTCTGAACCAGTGGGTTTCCCAAATAATCAGCTGGGCCACTCCAGTGCGTGTACGTTCGACCAGTCTGTGCAGGATAAGACAAAGAAGTCCTTTATCTTCCCATCAGTATTTGTTGGATACATCGTTGCACAACCAGAAGTTACTTAGCCCCCATTCAATGGCACTGTAAACTATAACTGCTACAGTTTGGCACACGTGACGTTCAATCTTAAAACGTTTACTACTATTCGTCATTGTTCGTGAGAGACCTTTGGTCTTAGTTAAAAGTGTCGTCAGTCTGTTGGTCTGTCTGGTCTGGCTACCCAGAAACCAAACATGTTCAAGGGGCTGAGGGAAAAAGGAAAGAAAGGAAGAAATAGAGAAAAGAAGAATCAAATCATTTGGAATAGAGAATTATTGGTTTGACTACTCCAATAATTTTGTATCTCCAAAAATAATGTTGATCGGTTTTGCATCCAATCATTTTGGTAATCTCTGAGCGCGCTCTTAATTAACAAACCTGACCTGCCAAAGAAGAATTTCTGAAGAAAAAAAACAATGGCACTTGGCACATTCTATGATTTTCTAACTGTTATAATTTTTTTCATCTATTTTTTACAAAAAGTTCCCGAATATATTGAGTACACAGAAAAATACTTGCTTGAATAAACCTATGTTTAAATTTCCAGAGAGTTTATTTAATACATTGGTAGTAGAACAAAAATCTTGTTTAAATCAAAATAATAACTTTGGCTACTTCAAGTCTTCATTAATATTCTCGTTACTTCATATTATTTTTAGGCGGTTGTCTATGGTATAATTCGCGCTTTCTCAAATATGATGATCAAAAAATTATTTAATCAAAATTAGTCCTTGAGCCTGGAAGCATGCAGATTCGTTAGGATTTCTGAACAAGATTATGCAAAAAATTGAATCAGAATATTTTTTCGAGCAGATGAGAGGATATTTCCTGGCCTGACAAGACGTTTTTGTGCCAAATAGTGTCCTAAGCCATTTTAACTTCGACTAGCCGAAACGAATGACCCTCTGACAAGGCTCTGCTATCGTCAAAATTGGGCTGCGCATTGAATATAGCGTACAGAAAAGGTCATAATGTAGAAGAGGGACAATGTTGGAGCCAGAACCGTTCGCTGAGGAACACCCGCATTGACAGTTTTGAACAAAGAGAAAGGCCCATAAATTACGAAAATTACCTCCAAAGTCTTCATTGAAGACCAGATGACGGAAGTTTTCAAAGGACAGTGCCTTTGTAATATCAAGAATATTGGCAAGAACCTCAACAAAATGAACATTATCCCGGCATAGGCTAAATTTGCAAGGCTACCCTTGCGTTTTCCGGCTTCAATCTACAGGGTGTTCCTTGATGATATGCGAATATCTAAGGGTGTAAATCTACATGAAAAATTAATGTTAGTTTGCATTATCAACTATGGCCAAAAAATGTTTCCTTACAAAAACTCGGGGTGTTGAAGTTTTAGGAAAAAATGGAAATTAATTATTATTTTCAGAACCGCTTTAGATATTTCACTGATATTTAGTACGTAGTGGAAGTTAATAAAGTTGCATATTTTTCAATGCAAAAATAATTTTTAGCTTTAACAGTGGCGTGCGTATAGGTATTGACTTCGATATTTTTAAAGGAAAAAATGGTACGCCAATGGATTTTGCCAAATAAAAATTATTTTTGAATTTCTCGTTCAATTTAAAGCAAATGATATATCTTGAATTGTTTTTCTTCGATGCGCCACTTTTGAGTAAAAAAATAAAAACCGTTCTGTTGTCCCAAAAATTAGTGTAATAATTGAAGAATGCAATTTAGCAATAAATATCTAGTTGCTCTGTAATGTGTCACTGGCTTTTGACATCAGACAAGTCTCTGTTATTCAAGTCTGTTCGCTGTGACATCTTTTTCATCATTTAGTTTTTACAATCTTGTTAATAATGGTGAATTAGCAAATGCAGAAATGGCGGAAATGCATTAAGTATATGGCCTTGCCGACAGTCATGATGAGCAAGCCAGACGGATTTATCACCAGAGATATCCCGACCGTGCTTTATCAGATAGTCGAACCTTTTCTAATATTCATCGTCGTCTTGTTGAAACTGGTTCTGTCCGAAAAGGGAACATCTGAAGGTAGACCTCTAAGTGTCAGAACACCTGAAATTGAGGAAGCAGTGCTGCACGAAGTCGAAGAACATCCTGAAACGAGTACGAGGAAGATCGCTAGACACTTAAATATTTGCCATCAAATTGTTTGGAGAATTTTAGTGGATTTTTTGTTATATCCTTATCATATTTTAAGAGAAAAGGCATTACTTCCCATTGATTTTTCAAGGCGTGTGACCTTTTGTCATTGGTATCTTCAAAAAATTACACAAAAACCGCAATTTGAATCAATGATTCTGTTCGCGGACGAAGCTAATTTTTCTTGAAATGCCACTTAGAATTTCCAGAATAATCATTTGTGGGCAGAAGAAAATCCCTATGCCGTAACCGAAACCCATTTACAACATATGGGCAGGAATTATTGGCAACCACTTTATTGGCCATTCTTCATGCCGGGACGACTTGACATCAACAACAGTTGCCTTGCTGCTTGATGATGTTCCGTTAGTAATAAGAAACAATATGTGGGTACATGCATGATCCAAATCGTTGGATTGGCCGCGGTATGACCCAAGAATGGCCACCAAGGTTCCCAGACCTCAGCAGTTTAGATTTCTTTTTGTAACATTAGTGTACCCAAGTCCCATCAACACTGTAGAGGAATTAAGCGAAAGCATAGTTGCAGCTTGTGATAGAATAGAAAACACTCCAGGGATATTTCAACGAGTGCGCAATTCCATGAGAAGGAGGGCGGAAGCATGCATACTAAGTGAAGGGGGCCATTTTCAAGAATTTTTGTAATCATTTCGTTGGTTTTAATGTTATGTTTATGTTGTCAGTTGTTGTTGTTCATTACCCCTAATGTGTTTAATTTTTGCAATTAAGTTAAAGATAATTTTGCAAGTTAGACGATAGAACGATTTTTATTCTTTTACTCAAAAACGGCGCATCGAGGGGAAACAATTGAAGAGAGATTTATTGATCGGGGAATTCATAAATTATTTTTATTTGGCAAAAAACCATTGACGTACCATCTTTTTCTTAAAAAATATCGAAGTCAATACCCGTACGCACGCCACTGTTAAAGCAAGAAATTATTTTTGCATTGAATAATATACAACTTTATCAACTTTCACTACGTACTAAATATCAGTGAAATATCTGAAGCGGTTCTGAAAATAATAATTAATTTCCATTCTTTCCCTAAAACTCCAACACCCCGAGTTTTTGTAAAGAAAAATTTTTGGACAATAGTTTATAAAGCAACCTAACATTAATTTTTCATGTGGATTCCTACCCTTAAATATTCGCAAATCATTAAGGAACACCCTATATAGACTAACAAATAACGCCGCGGAAAGGTACAATTTTATTAAAAGTCTTGTTCAGCGCATCTCTTACAAATCGGCAAATTTTAATGATCATCTTAAGTGGTTTGCGACTGAGCGCATATTATTCACGGTAAAATCTCGTTAAGACCCGATAAAATGATTGGATGCGTGTCGCGCGAACCCCATAAGTTCCGGCGACAGTACGCAAATCGGTTCAGTCGACAACCGAGCATCGTCGCTTGTCAATTGTTTCAGACCACGCGGTCGGTAATCGCCTCCTTGATTTTTTACCCCCGACTATCACCTTCCCTACCCATAACATCGCTCCTTCGCCTTTTTTTCAAGTCACCCCCCATATACCCTAGCCCACTCAGCCCTTTCACCATTCTTTCAAAAACTCACGATAAACCCCAATATAATGACTTAGTGCCATAAGTTAGTGTCTTTTACTCGCATTTCAACATGGAGGACAATAATTCGAAGATAACCATGAACGGTTGTGACAATGTTGCGTTTACCTTGCAAGAAGGGAGTTTTTTGAAGAACGGGAGTAGCGTAGGAAGTTTCCAACAGGAACCTAAAAGGAAGAGATCGATAATACAATGGACTAGAGAGGCTCTACCGCGTTTAGAAAATTATAGGAATTCCAAGAAGGCATTGAAGAGGCCTAGCTTAGGGGAGCTGCATGGTGGTAGTGATTTCAGTGGGGTAAGTATTTGGTTTTGATTAGATATCACATGTCCGTGTGTACAGTTTTTTTCATCAAATTTAAATGATGCCTTCATCAAAGTGTTTGTTTACTATTAAGTGGCAGAATTGCAATAATAAAATATTTTGAAATTGTATAAAATGTATGCTAAGTGAATTTATAATGTGAAAACCTATAAATATCACGATATGTATCTCGGAGAAAGGGAGGAATTGTCGACCCTATATCAAAGTAATTATTAAAGAGCAGATCTACCATAATAGATGTCTTTTGTGAAAGGAATGGGATGAAAATTAGTCGCTGGGATTTACCTTCCAAATGAGCACAAATTTTGACAAAATCTTAACCAGCTTGAAAAGGCTGTACTTAAGAGACTACCCTTATTACTTTTGTATAAGTATGACCAAGGAGACTCAAGCTTATGAATACAAAAAAGAGAAACCTTTCGAAATGATAATTTCTGTGATCAGGCTGAATAAAATAATTTTGAAATACTCCAAGCCCAAGAATAATCAGGACCTTGTTGTTCATTGTATACTACCACTTTTCAAACATGAAGTTGTATTCCCTACTATAACTTTTCTATCAGGTTTTACCTATATTACAACTATTGACAGGTATACAGATCAAACATCAGATTGTCTGATGTGAGGCATATATTGGTGGTTTGAATATTTTAAATTTCTTGTTTTCAAATTGAGCGTTCCCCGCTATTTTATCCTTTCATTATACATATCAAGTTGATCGTTTAATAAAACATTAAACGTAAATACAATGATTTATTTATTGTATATTCTATATGACAATTTGATGAATAAAACTCGATTTAAATATGTTTCCTGATATTCGTGTATGATTCTGCAATCTCATTTCATTTTAAAAACACGTTGATTGTGCTGAGATAAAATGTCAATTTACAGTCTCTTTTTTGTTTGAGTCTATTCAAACCCAGAACAGCTACTTCCTCTAGTAATGTCCTGTTTCATCCGGATTTTCAGATAAAAGAAGACGGAATTTTTTGCTAAGGTGAAATTCCCATTGTGGGGCATATCATTTATGTGATTGTATTTAGTTTATTTAGCTATAAAATTTATAGCTCTCAAGTACAAATATTTGGTAAATATCTTAAATTTCTTTGATACATCTGTGAAATGTGGCCTTATTTTTATCTGTTTGAATTAAAGTATTGAAGTGTCATTCATATAAAGAAATCCCCACTTTCCACAACATTGTAACTACGCTATATAATATACCTGTCAAACAAAAGGGGGTGATAGGAAGGATCACTTTCAATCATAAAAACAATATATATATATATATATATATATATATATATATGGTATATGGTATATATATGTTATATATATATATCCTTATCTTATTGAGCACTGTTTTAGAGTTATCGCCATTTTGAAGAATTTGTAGAAAATCGCTACTTTTAGGTCTGTAATATTTTTTTCTGAGATTATCTTTTGTTATTTTTGGATCAGCTTCACAGGATATGTTACCAAATATTGTATCTTTGAGAAAAAACTCTCTGAAAAATTTGTACAGTTAATCTTGCTATATAAAACGTAACTTCATCTGAATGTCAAAAATATTACAGCACATTCAAATAAGCATGAAGAAACAGTTAAAGGAATGATGAACTGTCCTTGTAGTTAGAAAAAACTTTCCAAAATACCTTATAGATAAACAAAATATACTCAAAATAGACAAAATTCTGCAGGTACTCTCAATCTCGTAGATTCGGATTTTGTGAACTCAATCATCACTGTCATTGTCAGTCTTCTACATTCCGAATAGAATCAGGAAACAATCAAGAGATAATAAGTCCTCAAATTCAAATGAATGCCGGGTGTGATCTATGTAAGGGGTGATGGACTTAACGCCCTTTCGTAAAATAAATAGGATAATACAACTTGTAGAGGATAATAAACTAACGTCCGCACTATGAAGAGGTTGCAGAGACAATACGTATTCACTAATCTTGTGTTATTTCGATGCAAGATGCCGTACTCGTCACAAGAAGATGCAGAAATGCCCTTAATTTTTCTGAAGAATATCAAAACATATTTATTCCAGCTTAGCAAATTTTTCGGACTATTGTATAGGACGTTAGAAATAATCGTGAGACCGAGAATCGATGTGGATGCTGAAGATGCAGTTCTACAGATAATTGAAAATGAACCCCCTGGTAGAGACAGAAGACTACCCAAAGAGCAGGAGAGTGCAGAAACATGCTTCAAAAATTCAGAAATGACCGGCAGTTCTTCAAAAAGTGTTATGGATGGACAAATGCGGTTTGAGTGCAGTATTACATTCTAGTTTGACAAATAACAAATTATTAGTGATACTTCTCATCAGGATTGAAAGCTTGTTCGTGCTTATTGTCGCTGGCAACGTCAGCCAAACAACATAATCCTTCACTCCTAGGCACTGACTGAGCAGCCAAAAATACTCCTCCATCTGGACTATTCTCGTAAAGCATCGGTTTAGCTCAGTGAGGCTTCTGCTACACCATTTATCCTCCAACAGCACAACTGCCCTATATAGCTGATCGTCAGCCTGGTAGTCTGGCAGAAGTAGAAGTAGATAAATTTGAAGAGCAGCAAATAGTCTAGATGGTGGAGTGTTTTTGGCTGCCAGCCAGTGCCTAGGTGTACAACATTCCGTTATTTGGCTGTCGTTGCTAGGGACCCCAAACAAATTCAATTTTTCTTCCTAACAATCTAACAGATTAGATAGCTGCACAACACTGTGCTTCCAGCAAGATCATGCTCCTCTACACAATGCATCAGGTTAAAGGTTTTCAAATCACACCTGATCTAGACTATTGATTCATAGGATTTACATGAAGTATCTCTTTCTCCTGTTAGTCGAATACCATTTCAAATTACGTATCAAATGCGCATAGCATCTTGAAAATTTGGCTGGAAATGTATATTTACGTGTATATTATGTATTATCCTGGCTTATTCTTACTTCACGCGCCTACTGGCGAGGAAGTATTGTAATCGCCAAAAAGATACAAAATGAGATGCTTTTTGAAACTCGGAAAGTACCAATCGAATTTTGATGAAATTTTCACACAAGATTACTTGTAGCTTTGAAGTTTTTGAAAATTGGTGCAGTAGCGACAGATAAAAAGGCAAAAAACGAAAAAAAAAATCGCTTAAACTATTGACGTTTTAAAGGATGTTGGTCATTTATGGAAGGTCGTTCAGTGGTACAAAATTGGGGGTTGTAGAGAGTGAGGGCGGATCATCTCATTTTTTTTTATAAATTAAGTATGCTTATACGCTCCCAGCCTCGGTAGTTCTATGCACTTACTACACACATTTCACACATCATAGATTTCTCCGTACAGTTTTCCTTAAGACAGAATGATAGAAAAATGCCTTCGATACGCGTCACTACTTCTGCAGCAGGGTAACTGTTAGGGCAAGGGGAAGAATGTCTATGGACTAATTGTGTGGTTCTGTTTGACTTAATTCGTTTAATTTCTCTGGTATACATGCTCGTAACTTTTTTCTCAGTGGGTCTTACTCTCCTCTATGAACAGATGACGGCGTTGCGTGGATGGGCGCAGAGTCAACCTACTTGACGCCATTTTTTGAGATTAATTTTCGTCAAGTTTTGCTATTTCTCGATTTTCCTTAAAAGACAAGCTTTGTTTTATACAATTGAAATTAGTCAAGAATACCAAAATCTTGGGACTTCCAAAAGTTTTTCAATGAATGTATATCTTTTTGTTAATACGTGGAAAGTACCAGGTCAGTCTGCTTTATCGATTTTTTCAATATAATTCACATTTTGGTCGACACAGGGATTTCACAAACGAATACACAAGCAGCTTATGTGGTTAAAACCTATACGTGCTCGATAAAAAATACAATTATATTAGAATTTACGAAGTATATAATTCAACTAGAACTATTTTATGTTTCTATGTACTTGTAGAGGTGCTAACAATGTCACGAAATTGTATTTTCGATCATCGTTAGGATAATATACAAAATGCATTCATAACCTGAGGTTGTCGTGCCCATGAAACAATCATTAAATTATCGATAACCAAAGCACCAAATGCGACAAGTTGCCGATAGAAACCTTAATGTTTCACTGATGTGTTTTCGGTGGTTGAGCTATAGTTATTGAAGAAAACTGTTATGGTGACATAATCTGCTATACGTAGATAATTTATTTGATTTCGGATTTAACAAAATATACTTGTTCATAGATCAGAAATATCAGCATGGTTGCTTAATTTGGTTTTTGAAAAGAGATATACAAAAATCACAAGAGGCGCGGGATTGCAAAATCACTTTGCCAAGGTTGACGTCGTATTCTAGGCTATCATTGTATTAGCAAAAACGTTCAAGTTTTTCATGTGCATTGGCATTCTTGTGTACAAAACCCAAATCACAATCTGCAGAGGTGTATTCCGAAGGTCCAGTTTGTATGACTTAAACCCAAATCCTTTATCCAACAAAACTTCCAACAAACTTCTAAGTATACCATTGTCATGAAAAAAGAACCTTTCAGTTTAAGAAAAATAAATTAGGTATAAAAACACACTTGCAATATCTAGGAATAATTATGGAAATTGCTGTACTACCTAAAAACCTTTTCCACTATAAAAAACATTTTCACTAAATGCGAAAAGCTGCCGATAGAAACCTAAATGTTGATGTTCCCACTACACATATCACATAATTGTAGCTGGTATACTGATGTGCTTTTTTTAACGTGATTGAGCTATAGTTATTTAACAAACCTGTTGTGGTGGCAAAATCTGGTATATGTAAATAATTTATTTGATTTCAGATTTAACAAAATATACTTGTTTATAGATAAGAAATAGTAGCATAGTTCTTTGATTTGGTTTTCGAAAAGAGATATACAAAAATCACAAGAAATGAGGGATATCAAAATTACTTTACCAAAGTTGAATTCTAGCCGATTGGATTCGATCAAAGTCAAATCATAAATGCAG